CCAAAGACAGAACAGTTAGCATGTTTTGCTCAAACTTTCGCCATGGCATTAGAGCTGGTACACCGTTGTCGCTTGCGAAATCAAAATGATGGTGCCTTGAGTGGAAGTTTACAGATTAAGGGGTGGTAATATTATAATGAGATCCCTTTGCCATCTCACTAGGGGAGCGAAATCAGACACGCTTGTTTTCTCAGAGGCTTGCAGAAAAAGGCTTACCAAAACAAAGTTACTGGGTTAATCTTCTTCACGTTTCCTTGGTTGGTAGATGCACCAGGGACCTGATTATAGCACTTAAAACATGGAAAAGTCAGATTTTCATGATATGTCACCTTTAAGGCTGATGTGCGATTCTGTCAAATTTTTGCAGCAAAAACGTTCCATGTTCCGCCATTTCCTGTTTTTAAAATGAAAGCATATTTTAAATATATTTTAAACGACTTTAAGTAGTTTAATAGCAGACGCTGCACGTCTTTTAACAACAAAAATATATCTTAATTCAAACAGCGACAGGTTATTTGCTTCTCTTGGACGCGCCTGGGCTTTATTATGAAGCCGCTGGTCAGTCCTCAAGCAAATATAATAAACGCCATGCGAAACCTCTTTAATGCATCGATGCGGCACAGAGAGACATGCTTCGCTGTTTGTGTGTTCGCTGCAGTCGCAGGGTCCCGTGTGCCATGTGAGTCGTCCCGCACAGGACAGGGCTGGCTGAGCGCACAGGAGCGTGATGGGGGTGTGTCGACACCGAAAGCGGTCACCAGGCTGGTCCACGTGCGGGGGTGCTGTTATGACTCAGTCCTGAAGTGGAGCAGTAAAGTGGGCGTCGACCCGGCGAGGTCTACTTTCGTGGAAAGCGGGTAGCCTCGGTCATGCACTAATGTAAACATCTCAGAGGTCAGACTGAGGGAAACCAAAGCCGTGTAATTGGGTTGTCGCTCTATTTAAACGTGGATTCATACAGACACACACGTTCCATCCCTACTGCGTTCCCTTACGAAAATTAACCATGGTTTTACTACAAATAAAACCAAAAAACATGGTCTTGCCCTAGTTTAACCATGGTATTTGTAGTAAAACTGTGGTTATACAAATAATCAATCAATGAGTTCACTGCAGTTATTATGCTGGATGATATTGTCATCGGTCACTATAACGCAGATGAGAGAAGTTTTATCCCGGTGACGGTGCAAGAATCCGTTAATGTCACGGAGCAAATTACTATATCAACAGTCTTTAAAGGCATACACGAGGACATGAAAACCAAAGCATACTACTTAATTGATTACCTAAATTATACAAGAGGTAATTATTCTCTAATGGTCTTGCATTATTCTCTTGAGAGCATGAAAAGTAGCCTATTTTCATTCAGATCGGTTCATTGTGTATAGGGTACATGCAATCAAATCAAAAATGGGAATTCACTAGGATAAAAAAAAAAGGCTTTTAATTCTAAAATAATTGCTGTTAATTTAAACTTTCTACTCATCAAATAATCCTGAAAAAATGTATCACAGGTTTCATAAAAATATATTAAACAGCACAACTATTTTTAACACTGATGATAATTATAAGAAATGTTTCTTAAGCAGCAAATCAGAATATTGGAATGATTTCTGAAGGATCATGTGACACTGAAGACTGGAGTAATGATGCTGAAAATTCAGTTTTGCCATCACAGGAATAAATTGCATGTTTAAATATTCAAACAGAAAACAGTTACTTTAAATTGTAAAAAAATATATTTCACAATATTACTATTTATACTGTAATTTTCAATCAAACAAATGCAGCCTTAGTGAGCATAAAATACTTATTTAAAAAAAAATAAAAAAATCATACCCAAACCATTTAAATGGCAGATAACCTTATTGTTAGTGAACTGTTGTGACAGTGTCAGTCATTCTTAATGCCAGCAAAATGGAGTTCTGCTTTTTTGAAGTTCTCTGTGAACTGTGTGTGTTAATGTCATAACAGAATTGTGAATTCCATTCTTACGTATGTGTATCTGAGACTCTGTATTTCTTCCCAAGGCCTTCACGTGCAGCAGAGGCTGGTTGGATGTGAACTTCTCCGTGATGAGCCTGGCCGAATGATGACGCTGGAGGCCTTTAATGGCGAGAGTGGCTTTGAACGACGCTATAACGTTCAAGGAGACCAGCACACTGACTGGAAATGGCCTGTCATAAAGAGTAGGGCACAGCTGGAGTACGACGCGTGGCTCTATGCCCACTTTTACCGCCCCTTGTGCATTAGCCAGCTTAGGACATATCTAAAAAAGGAGCAGAAGCGTGTGATGGCAAAAGGTGAGTTAATGTAACCTCCAAAAATGTACTCTGTTTGGTTTGGAAAACATTAATGATGTGTTTCCTGCTCAGTGTGTTCACTCTTTCCTTGACAGTAAAGCCCAGAGTGAGAGTGATTAAACGCTATTGTAGGGAGGCAGGTGTAGTTCAGATGACCTGCCTGGCAACTGGTTTTTACCCACGTCACATTAATCTGACCCTGCTTCAAGATGGCCAGCCAGTTAATGAAGAGAGGATCACAGGAGGTGAACTGCTGCCCAACCCTGATGGAACCTATCAGATGAGGAAGAGTGTGGAACTCGGCGCCGAAGAACAAAGAGAAAGACACACCTACACTTGTACTGTAACTCACCTTAGCCTGGATAACAAGCTTGACATAAGTATAGGTATTGCAATGGCAATCTAATTTACACTAATATATATATATATATATATCAATAATATTTGTATATTTTTAGAACCTGGTCCTGATCCTGTTATTGTAGTTCCCTCTGTACTTCTATTGCTGTGTGTTTTTGGATTTCTGGCTGCCTTTAAAATATGGAGGAAGAGATATTCACAGCCTGAGCAGGTACACATACACTCACTATTTCACTAATACATCAGATTCACGTTATAAGACATAAGCTCTGCTGGCCAGGCTTCATAATTGTATTTCTGTCTTCATATTGCAGATCATCTACATACCTACCTCAGGTTTGTCCTGTAATCTGCTCAGATATATTTATGCATTTGTTATTAAGAAAGTTAAACATGTACTTTTACTAATGTGGATTTATTTTATTATTATTATTTTTCCTCAGCAGCTGATGACCAAACAACAGAACAACAGCGGATATGACATGTAAAGTGGCACCAAATTATCTGTTCACATTTACAGACTGGAAGCATTTTGTAAACTGACTGAACTGAAAAAACTTAAATCAGTATTTTTATTTTTATTATTTTTTTTAAATCTTAACATCTGTTAACATCCCGAGAAATTATTAAGTATTATTTAAATATATAATATATATATATAAACCATATTGAAACATATCCTTTCAAAAGAATGTGTTAATTACATGTATATTTGTACATTTATTTGACAGGTTGGCAAAATGACTTTTTATCACACACAGATTTGGTCTGTCATAGTATTGAATATTTCAGTATTTTTACAATATTTGTAAGTTTTACAAAAGTATGTTTTGGGTTTAAATAGGCTAGTAATTACAGCATGTATCTAACAGGTTTCCTCTAATGCCAAGTTTGTCTGAACACAGCTGTTTATGTTAGCATGGCTGTTTGCCAGATTGCATTGCCAGCAAATCAGCCACCAGAACTCCTCAGTATTTATTTAATCAGGTACTGTATATTTATGTAGCCTGTTTGTAAAACTGTTAGATCTTAAATAGTGTGCTAATAAACAAACATTTGTTATATTCTTCTGTGAATTCTTTATAAGTTCACGGTTCATGACCTTACTCACATTTACCGTAATGTTGCAATGCTTTTAAAACTTGAATGTTAATCTTCAGTCCATCTCTGCATGATGTCATAATGCAAACCTCAAAGTGCGCGCCACGAAATGTTCCGCAAGAGTCCAATCAGATTCCAAACGCACCGCGCATGCGCTGTGTGCGCAGATTCAAACGAAATCAGAAAGGGCGCCAAAGGAAGGCGATAGGTGAGTTCGGGCGGGGGTCAGGGAAATTTAAATAACATGTCGATGCAAAATGATGCGATATGCTTCGTTCAGTATTTAAATAAACAGCATGGTTGCATGACTTAAAATGGCGTCATCGCCCCTCAAGAGCAGACGAAGGGAACTGCTAAAATTATTGTCATTGTTTTTGCTGTATATCTAAAATGGTGGACGCTACCTGTGCCCACACGATAGCTCGTGTATGACTGGAGTTTAGCTATAGATAAAAAATAAAAAAAACTCCCAGTTGCATGCATGTAAACAGTGATCGGACGATGTCCTTCCTGAGACAGTAAATGCAATGCATCTCTAGGTACCAATGCACAGTCAACAGGTGGGAAGGGTACTTAAAGTTAGCTTAGCGTAGCCATAAACATTATTTTGGAAATCTGATCATACATAATGTTTCTATAAATGACATTTTTGCTCTTGGATTCATGTGCTTTCAAGTCTCAGAACACAGTTAAAGCATCATATATAAGCCATATCAGTATACCTACCTTTTAATTTTGCTTTACAACCAATTTCTCTTGTCAAATAAGATTACTTACATTACTAAGAAAAAATTAATGGTCAAATTCTGCAATAAAATTCAAGTTTTTGTGCTGTTCCCCCAGAATGGCTATAGAAAAGGGGCCTCAAGGACACACATTCAGCCTGTCACAAATCCTCCTCATCTATAGAGGTGGGTGTTGGTAAAACATCTCCAACTGGAGTAAGTCGCAATGACTATGCGATCCACCGTGTTCACGAGTGGAGGACACAGACTG